CTAAATGAGTGGCTTTTAGAATGCATAGCGGGAAGGCAATATATTTATGAATAGGAAAGGAAAAAACTTAATGTTATTTTTTACCTTAAATGATAAGATTAAGGAAATTAAATAAAATTTAAATTTCGAATGTCGAATACGATGTCATGAGTAACTAGAAATTCTTTATGTAACTAACTGTTTCTAAGAGGTGTGGCTGATAACAAGGCGGATTCATAGTGCCATGGCGAACGATCCGCATATTGGTTCTACGCCTGAAATGGGCAATGAAATTTTATAGGATAAAAAAAGTCCTTCTGTTTCGCTAAAGAAGGGAGGCGGAGAGGCTTGTGTGAACCAACCCAGATGCCATAACTCAAGAGTAAAGTACAATGTAGCAATTATCTGTGGTGTACCTTGGTTGCGAAGAGTAATATGAGTTTAGTGTTTAAGTGAAAGTGTTCAGCATTAAAAAATAAAATTCATTCCGATACGTCTTTATTTAGTCACAAATTCATATCTCACTTGTTAATTGGATATTTATTAACTTCTTACACTTGATTTTGAAATGCGAATTTAGGTGTCTTTCGTCCATTTGTTATCATTTTGCATGATAATTTTTAAATATTTAACTGTGCTTAGTGAAACATTTTAAGAAATGTGCAAATTCTATTCTAATTTATCGATAAATACACAAAATACTCGATAAAATATATGTTTTGTCATTCCAGGCACAGGCGCATGCCATTTATAAGTATACATCTATCTGTTTCTAATCTGAAAGTATTTATTGAGAAATGCTTGGAACAGAAGATTTATAACGAGTGTGTGAAATAAAGTTCTTATAGCATGCTATGTGCGAAGGGTTTATAACTTTCAAATAACATTTTTTTTCCCAATGCAGCTGGCAAACAGACATGGACGTCTTGGATGCCTTAAGACAAGCTCTGCACAGACGTTACTCACTTTGCATTACCCAGGGGGCGCGTGTAACTTGAAGATAAGCCACGGACGCGGAGTAACAATGCTCGGTTAAATTATAAATATGAAAAAAAACTAATATTTTGAGCCTCCTATGTAAGGTGAGTACATTGAAGAAGTTTGTGCAGACAAACAAACCAGTATAAATCGTAATGTGCTAAAAGCGCAATATACAAGTTAAAAAATTATAGTTATATAAAAATTATACTTTTTTTTCTCATTATTATATATTATTTAATTTTTATATATCATATTATACCTTTTATATATATATATATCAAAATTATTAATTTATTACTTAAATTTACTTTGATTTTAGAATATTTTTTATAATAATATATTATATTAATATGATATTCTCATTATATATATATATATACATATATATAATGATTATAAGTTATTAGCTTATTACTTAAAATTATTTTGATCTAAGAATATTTTGAATTTCACTATGTATTGCAATATGTTGTTATTTTCTTACTTATTATCTTTGAAAACTTCTCAAGAAATGTAATTTATAAATTATGAACTTAATGGAAAAATTTATAGAACTTAATTAAAATTAATGAAAGAATTTTAAAAACTTATGAATTCCTAGCCTATAAAAAAGATTTATAACACTGGATATAAATGAAATAATGTAATAATGCTATATACATAATTTAAATGTATATTCATAACTTAGATTACCGCTTGATTTTTGAAAAGAAATTTTTATTGTAATTATAACAACTTTCTAAGATATAAGTTTCATAGATTTTTAAATGAAATGTAAGATCGAATTACGTATAGACAAAATTTTTTGTTGTTAGAAAATTTCTGAATTTAATTAAAGTATCCATTTCTCACAAAGAAATATTTGTTTCAGATTACATATCGATGCATATTTTAGACATAACTTGAAAGTTTCCTTCTTTAAATTTTATTAGTTTTGAATGTCTGTAACCTACAAAAGATGGATTTAGTCAGAATATGCATTAATATTATCCTTTTTAAAACTGAAAATTAAAAATTAATCACTTCTAAATAAAGAAATAAATTCTAAATAAAAGTTTAAAAAGTATAAAAGTAATTATTTAGACGTATAAAAAATCCATTTGTGTATTTATACGTCTATATTATTTGTTAATGGAAATTTTAGTCTGGAAAACATCAATGCATGGGAAGAGATAAAAAGAATAAAACATGAAATCTAATATTTATTCCTTGAACAAGAAATTCTTAGACAAGAAATAAAATAAAGTCTGCATAATATAAAATAGAATCGAAGTTAAGTTATTAATAAAATCTCTTATATCCAGTTTTTATGTGTTTTTATCATTATAAAGCAGAAATTAATGAATAATTCTAAGAACTTCTTAAAACTATATGTTTCTGGGAAAAATAATACTTTAATTACATAGAATTATTTTATTTTTGTGTAGCTATCAGACATGAATTAATGTTTGAAAAGTACATTTTTATATTAAAATTATTCACATTTTATTGCATTATTCTCTTACCATTTTAATTAATTCATGTGTTTTACAGTATTAAAATATAATCATATAATATCCAATTTTATTTAAGATAATTTTTTAAAGTTATACATTATTCTCTTTCGACATCCAAAGTCAGGTACTTCATTTCGTCACCATTATAATTATATCATTCAGGGTTGCAAGTTTGGCGACTACTTCAGGGGTACAGGATTCTAGATTTTAAGCAATTTTTTTTTTTGTTGGAAAAGAAACAGTACGGGGGGGTAATATAATGTTTTTAACGAAAACGCCAATACTACTGTGTCCAAAAGTAAAACCAATTGCCAATTTAAAATACCCGGGGCTTATGTAATTTCAATTTTTTTCTTTTTAGGTTCCCGGTACTGTCGTTGACAAATGTGTGAAATTTTACGTCAAAATATTCTTTTGTGCTTGAGTTACACTTGGATTTGAGAGAAGCTAAAACTGATTCCAGAGATTTTTGAAATGTCTGAATAAATTGAGCGCATAAACGTATAGAATGTTGCAGAAGGCATTTGTGAGCATTCCTATATCGGAAATAAGTGTTTAGAAGCGGTATAAGCAGTTCAAAGAAGACAGAGAGCGCGTTGAAGATGAAGAACTTTCTGGTCATCAACCTTAACCGACGAAGCTCACGTCCAAAAAATTAAAGATTTGGTGCTTGCAAACCGTCGATTTAGAATTAGAGACCTTGCTGATGTTGGAATTTCAAAAGGATCTGTCAGTTCCATTTTGGGCCTCAAACGCGTCAAATTTAGATTGGTACTGAAAACACTGAATGCGCCAGCTCACACTGCATTGATTCTTCGTGACGGTTTCGCCAAAAAATAAAACACATATCGTTCCACAACCACCGTATTCACACCGTGCGACCTCTGGCCCTAAACTCAAAAGACCACTCCGGGGACACCGTTTTGAGTCGATTGAAGAGATTCAACGTGAATCGCCGCGCGATTTCAAGGCCATTCCTGCTGATGACTTTTTAGCATGCATTGATGATTGGAAAAAACGTTGGCATAAGTGCATTGTGTCCGGAGGGGATTACTTTGAAGGCGATGAAATAAATTTGGAGGAATAAATAAAGAGTTTTTCAAAAAATATATAATTGGTCTTACTTTTTGGGCACAGTAGTAAATACCTCCTTTATAAATTAATCTATTGAAAAACCTTTTAGTTCAATGCATGCAAGAAATCTAGTTCAAAACATCTAGTTGAAATGTCATTTGATTCTGAAAATTATAAAAAAAATTGTTATGACTGTCACGGTAGGGTAATACCGTGGCAAGCAATACAGTTTTTCGGAAATTCAATTAAAAGTTTGAATGCAGGAATTTAGCATCTTGACAACTCGTGGAGATGTCTCGATATATACTAGTATGAGTGTAGACATGGTGTATATGCCAACGGCCATACCATGCTGAATATACCGGTTCTCGTTAGATCACCGAAGTCAAGCATCATTGCGCTCGGTCGGTGGGTGACCACCTGGGAACACCGCGTGCCGTTGGCATTCACAAATTTGGGACCTGAATGGCCGAGTGTCAAGCGCTCTGGCGCTCGGAGCCACAAGTTTCGGGTTCGAATCCCGGTGGTGCCATGGATGTTTGTAGTGGTTCGGAATCCACTTTAAGCTGTAGGTCCCGGTCTCCTATGACTGTAAGAGCGTCACGGAGCCAAAGTCAGGTTTCTACCTACGGGTGCTCCATCACAACAGAAGCTGCTTCCTTCGCCTTCAATCATGAGTACGTATGGGCTCGTGGCCTTGGCCAGCCAAGTGGGATAAGAAACAACAAACAAGACATGGTATATAAAAATTCAAAACAGTTTTCGAAAGCTAAAAATCTGCTCTTTAAAATCAAACTATAAAATTATCTATCGACTTTTTATTCACGAAAAACGTGTAATACATTCTAATAACAGCAGAGTTTTAAGTATTATATATATTATATTGTGTACAGAGTATTTAGTTTAATATCATTAAATTCCTCTCCATCTATTGGAGATTTACAATATTACATCCATAAGAATAAAAGTAATGGAATGATATCTGGGTGACATTTAAGAAAAACTAGTTCTATTGTATGTTAGACTTGGAGAAAACCAGGATATTTTAATGCAATCAGCCCAACGCAAATGCAAAATACTATTTGATGTGTTTCTTATTAGCTCATACTTTTCAAATAAATTTCGTAAAGTGCCTACTGGATTCGAACTAAGGTAATTCGAATCCAGTAGGAATCTAGCCGAATCATATTTACTTTTCTGAAACATCGGTGGGCTTCGTGTTTCATCACAGCTCACAGATTTTTTTTAAGGATATGATCAATATGATTTTAGCATTTATTTTTTAGAATATGATAGGGCCAGTTAGGAAAAAAAAGGAAAACTAATACCATAAATTTTATCCTTATTTTCTTACTTTACTTAGAAAACTTTTAGAAGCAATGAATCTTCATTTTTCAATCATTGAAAAATGCAGGTTCATTGCTTCTAAGAGTTTTCTGGAAATTTAACACTTTCAACACGCGCCGCGGGTGAGCATTAGGGCTGAGGTTCAATTCTCTGGCGTCTTCGTTGTAGACAGTGTTTCAAGCATTTGAGGAGGCTCGATGGCGTTTATGATGGTCAGCCTCTTGCCTTGTTAGTCGGACTACTTGACGGGACCCATACGAAACGCAAATAGAGGTTAGTTCCCCCTAAAAGTCCTTCCGAAAGCACTGCCCTCCTTCTTCAGTGACTCGGAGCCAAGTCAGACTTCTACCTACGGGTGCTCTATCACAACAGAAGCTTCCCATTTTCCTCCATCCATGAGTAGACTACTCATGGGATGTCCGTCCTACACTGCAGGACACTGAGGAATAGACACAACATACAACCCAACCACAATGACTATTTATTACAAATACAAAATGTAAAACGTTTATTTTTAACTAATTAACTTAATTTCATAAAAGAAATACTTAAAAATTACTAATTACCCCCAAAAAATATAATTAAATATGTTAAACATTTAAAATAAATTCTACAATGTATTTCCTTAATTTCTTTTCTATTAAAATGGACACATTTTCGACTACTTTATCTTTTCACTATAATAAATAAAAAAATTATCCTTCGGAACAAAAGCAATGACATACATTCCGTCTTCTGAAAAACAAGACCATTTCCGACCAGCGATTGGCAACAGTGAATGCGCATTAACTGTATCCGCCAGAAAATCGTTAAGAGAAGCAGTACTAAAAGTAACCAGGTAGAAATGGTTGGCTTCATTTCCTTTGTCAGATAACTTATGTTCTTCAGCCATTTTTATTTTTTTTTCCCTTCTTCCATGTCGTTCTTTTTTTGACGTCTCAATGGGTGTTTCCTTTTGTGATACCGACATAAAATATGAGTCTTGATTATTTTATTAACGGTTAAAAATAAATTTGCGTGCAGCTTCATTAAGAAAGATTTATTGATGTTTCTAATCGATATTGAATGTCTAATGGATAAATGCTTGGTTAAGTGTATGTATAAAAACTATTCATTTTACATCTATTTATGTAGCTGTAATAAAGAGTTTTCTTTTAATGGTAATTATTTAAGAATAATTTTTTTAATAAAACTTTATGGTATTTATAAGGCATATATATACAGGGCGATTATAATTAAAGTCCCACTTTCAAAATGCCTTAAAAAAAGAACCACCCGTCACAATAAGTTCAAATTTGAACTGAAGATACTTGAAGAAGAGCCGAAACGGTATGACATCAAAAGTTCCAAAGTGTATTAATAATGGTACTGTAAGTGGCATAAAGAAAGTGAATTCGGCTGATAGTGATTTTTTGAATCAAAATGACATATTTGGCATGAGTTGCACATTGAACCAACTGTAGTGTTCAATGTGCTTGATGGTTTCGTTTTTTTGACGGAAAAAAGACTTTCAAGTCATTCAACAGTTGTGAGACTGTCAGTGGAAAGTCCGTCCACAGGGCAAGGTCAGTCCAAATTGGGTGGGAAAAATCAGTGGAACTCTGTTCTGATGCCATACCTTTTCCTACTTCTTCAAGTATTTTCAGTACAATTTGAACTCATTCTGAGATTGGTTCTTATTTTACAGCATTTTGAAACTGGGACTTTAATTATAATAACCCTGTATATATATCATATATGTGTGTTTAAGTTCCAGAATTTCCTAAAACAATTTTAATCAGAAGTTTAGCTTTTTTTTTCTTTGAATTAACTCGCAGCTAAAACTACAGAAAATTATCATATTATTTATTTTTTAATTAAATAAAAATTTTATTTTGTATTAACAAATATTGACACCAGATGGCGCTAGTCAAATATATCTCTCTGACACTTAATGCACACTCAATGCAAGCAAGTGAAGCTGTACCCAATAATAGTATTCCCTTTGTATTATATCATGCTACTGCTGTGGTTTTACTGCCCTCTTTAAAGTTGTTGATGTTTTCCTCACATTCAATAAAAGTGTGAGAGGCAGATAACTATAGTAAATACTCCAGGAAGACATTTCGTCTTTTATTTGTATAAAATACAGATAATGCCTGTTATGCCTCATGTGTTGACTGAGATTTTTGATGATGACTGTTGTGTAGCGAATAAGTAATCACCTATCCAGCACTTTGCATTTTCTCATAAATACTGTCATACTCATAAGGAGGGGCTATATATATATATATATACATATAAATGTGTGTGTGTGTGTGTATTCCGTGTGCGTCCAGGTTAGAATGGCTCCACTGTAGCCCATGCGTATCGTAAAAGGCGACTAAAATGGGTACCCAGTGCCCATGGGTATATAATCGGGTGGGATAATATCTGACTTCTCCCTTAGGGTGCCCCGTGTGTCTGTACCGCAAGGACAAAAAAAAAACTGCATCGTTTTACCTTTTATCATAACTCATCGGTATAAGTACACATGGGTTAATGGACTCCGTCTAAGTTTAGTTGACTGGTATCACCGGTGCGAGTTAACACTAGAATGAAGACTGTAAACTATATCCATATCTTGAACTACCTCGTTGTCTATAATGTGGCCCTGTTGCATATAGAATGCCTTTCACTGAGACTGTTCTACAACAGTGGTTTCCAAATTTATTTGTCTTCCGTTGCCTTTTCAGAAGAATAATTACTTAGCGTTCTTTGTAAATCTACTCTCTGTAAGCTAACAAATGCAAATCTTTAATAAACAAAAACTTTTTTTTTTTACTTATTAATACTTATTTACTTTACTTATTGATTGCCTACGTCTTACAACATCATAAATAACACTATTGTAAATAAAAATTAATGAATTGCTGTAAAATACTTTTACATTTATACAATTTGTATGTAATACATTAATGAAAATTGGACACGTTATATGCATCATTTTGTTAGAGGACGGTGTGCTCAAGAGGTTATTACAATGAAATATACTTATTGATGTATAATGGAACCTCGAAGACAAATTCTCGATTAACAGTAATTGCTTTATTCCTTTTAGTAGACTTTATTGTCTAAATATTATAACTTGCATTTTGTGTGTTTACCAGGAAATAAAATGTTATAAAACAAATTAAACATATATGAATCGTTTTTCTAAAGTTCCCTTCTTTATAAATCACTTCTCTGTTATTTTAATTAAACACTCCCAAATATAACTGATGCTTCTATAACTAGTAAACAATAAGATGACTGCGGCCCCATGTATCATGTCAGACGAGTAAATGACTGAATGGCAGAGAATGAAGTTAATCCTCCACATCTTCTTGGCCCAACTAATTTGCCCAATCTTTATGTCATCTTGAAAAATTGGAACGCTTTGGAATCTTGTGTCAACATGATTGTTTTACATCCACAATCACTGAATGTGTAAACAACAACATTGATACATGACTAGGCAAAAATTATTGCTGGAATTATCTGGTTCTGAGCTACAACGTGTCTGTAAGATTTCAGTTATGATTGGTCGCATTGTGGTGAAACCAAGTATTAAGTTCATTAAAACTTGATTTTTTTACATGTCACCCGGTTGTTCACGATGAAAGAATTTTTTGATGAATGTCCGAATAATAATGTAATCAAAATGAAGCTTACAAAACTTAAATTTGGTTTATCGCATTCTATCAAGTTTACAATTATAAATTGACGGAATGCGAAACAAAAATTTTGAAATATCAATTTGTCATTATATTGTGATGTATATTTTCAGTATCACCAAATAATCTTCGTAAGAAATGCATACTGCAAATTCTGCGTACTGCATACTATAAATTCATACTGCATAATGAACAAAACCAAGCTAAAAAAGGAGTAAACATTTTTCAAAATGAAATTCTTGTGCTTCATGCTCTGTCAGATATCAGTTGGGTTTGGGCACACTGTACATTGTGATCAGACCAAGTATTAATATCAATCAAACTTGTTTTCTATTCATGCCATCCGGTGGTTTATGATGAATGTGTTTTTAATGAATGTCCGAATAATAATGTAATCAGAATGGAGCTTAGCCAGTTTAA